TCCCGGAGATGCGCCTCGTGACAGGCAGCTCACGCAGCCCTGAGTTTCAAACGGGCTCCAGCGCAAGTGCAGAAAGGGAGCTCCCCCTGCGCTCAGTGCGCGTGGGTAGAAAGGGACACGAGGAACGGAAACACGGCTTGCTGGGCAAGAGTCAGTGCAGGTTTGTCAAGGGAAGTCATGACCCATGCCTCACCGCCTAGCAGAATTCATGGGGGGGGGGGAGTCAACAACCCTGGGCAAAGATGATCCAGTGTACTTGGACTTTCAGAAACCCTTTGACAAGCTCCCCCAGCAAAATAATCCGTCAGGTGATCAGAGGATCAGTAACTGGTTCAAAGACAGGAAACAAGGGATAGGAATAAATGGTGAGAGATGAACTACAGGGTCTCCCAAGAATTTATACTGTGATCTGTGCTGTTCAAGATAGTCAGTAATGAGGCGGCAAAGACTGAAGCTGTGACAAACATTTCAGACAATAAATAATTATTTGAGATTGTTAAATGCAAAGCTGACTCTGAAGTTACAAAGGATCTAACCGAACTGAGTGACCAGGCAACAAAATAGCAGATGAAATTCAAAATGCTCATAAATGCAAAGTAATGCACATTGAGAAAAAACAGCCCAAGTGTACATAGACAGTTGAGACAGCTAATGTGGAATCATCACTGGAGAGAGAGAGCTTGGAGTCTCTGTGGATAATTCTATTCGAATTTCTACTCAATGCACAGTACTGGTCCAGAAGGCAAATAATACGTTAGGACCTATTAGGAAAGGGATAGAAAATAAGACTGAAAATACCATGTCACTATCAGTCCATGGTGCGTCAATAAATACGGTGTCCGATGCTGGTTGCCAGTCTCAAAAAGGATACAGTGGAAGTGGAAAAGGGCAGTTCTGCACCGGCGGGGGTGTGCACCCCCAGACAGACCCTTCAACCTGCCTGTTGCTTAGCAGGAAGCCCTGGGAGCATGCCTTCACTCTTCCTGCAGCCAAGTACCCCGTCTCGTCACTCCTTGCTAGAGCGGTGCGCTGGGGTGCACTGTCTTACTTTCACCTCTAGCTGAGTTACAATCCCTCCTCCCTGGTGCTCTCCACACTCCCCTGGTCATCCAGAAGACGGGGAAAGGGTAGGGCGACGCAGGTCCTCCTGCTCTCCCAGCTCCTGGCTCAGGGCCCACAGGGGCCTGGAGAAGGGGTGGCCCAGTCGTCTTTGCCTGGAACAAAATGCTTGGCCTCTTACCCAGTCCAGTCCCTTCCCCTATGGATCCCGCTATTCCAGAAGCTATAGCCTGGCTGCCTTCCTACAGACAGCTTCTCCTTCACCCTCCCCTTGGCTGCCTCAAAATCCCGTTACACAAGTCTTCCATTTGGAGCATGGTCTGCAGCTGCGGAGGGGCAGGGCCTTCTTGTCCCACACAAGTCCCCTACCCTTAGTGTGGGTCCGTACACCCCATCACCTTTACCCTTTCAAATAACCAGGGGTCATCTGAGGAAATGACTGGGCAGAAGGCTTCATACAAGCAAGAGGCAGTACTTTTTCATACAATACAAAACTAAGCATGGAGCTCATGGCTGTGGGATGTTACGATTGCCAGAAGCGTAGCTGGGTTCAAACAAGACCTTGATACATTAATGGCACATAAATCCATCAAAGGCAATTAGCCAGCATGTTAAGAAAGCACCCCGTTGCTCAGGGAAACCCTACATTGGTGGGAGAGGAGATGAATCATTCCAGAAATGCTTTTGTTCTATTCACTCCTTCTTGAGCTTTGGTGTGGGCCATTGTCGGTGACAGGACACTGGGCAAGATGGAGCAAGGTGATCCAGTGTGGCAGCTCTTATGGCCTCTAGTCCCCAGCACAGTCCCACTTTCCACTTTGTATTCTTACCATTATCTTTCAACACTGTAGCCACGTTGGTGAGAGGCAAGCTGGGAGAGGTCACGTCTTTCACTGCCGGTACAGAAACTTCTGTTGGTGAGAGCAAGGAGCTTGGCTCTCTCTCCAGATATTACCTCACCCAAATCATCCAGACCACATTGCCTGGGAACACAGATAGCTTTGTCACAGCTGGAGACTTTATACCCCAATTAGCTCTTCCGCTATCTGAACAGTGATTGCATTTGCATTAAAGACTTGCAGACTTATTTATCACCCTTTTTTTCCAGCACAGTTAATTTTTAAACACAGCAGTCTTACTAGAGATTTGGAAAAGTTACCCACATAATTTTGTTTGGGCCTTGGCTACACTTCTCACCCCCAACTCCACCTGGCCTTGGCTACACTGCCCCACCTCCCCAATGCCCCTAGGCCTGGGATACAGCACAAGGGGGCGGGGCCTGGCTACTGTACGTCACTTGGGGACAGCCCCGCCTTCGCTGGATGCTACACTTCTCACCCCCAACTCCACCTGGCCTTGGCTACACTGCCCCACCTCCCCAATGCCCCTAGGCCTGGGATACAGCACAAGGGGGCGGGGCCTGGCTACTGTACGTCACTTGGGGACAGCCCCGCCTTCGCTGGATTCCAGTGCTGGGCATGGGCGGAGCTACGGAACGGGGGAAGTTTGTCCCTTGCCAGCCTCTGTCGGGAGGGGGCGTGGCCACGGG